GCTGCACTGCCTCGCCTCTTGCAAGCCTCCGCATGAATGCCTGGCCCCACTTGAAGTCGATCTCGAAGTTAGGCGGCTTGTACGTCTGGTCCTTCTTGTACTTCTTCATGGTGTCTCTGCTTTCGGGCACGAACAGGTCGGGCTGGGCTGGGTTCGGCCAGGCAAAAAACGGCACCGACTCCTTGTCCGTGGAAGCCAGGCGGAAGTAAATGCGCTTGTCCGACAGGAGGACAACGTGGCTCCTCGCGAGGTACGCCTCCGCGTCTGCCATCTCGAACGACCCCCGCGCGTCGCGGGGAAAGTTCGCCTGGATAATGCGGACGAAATCGTCAAAGGAGATTGCCTCGGCTCCAGGCCGAACGGGCTGGACGCGGGCCTCAAAATCCTTGTCGTAGGCGTTCACGCAGGATTGCCGCGCCTGGTTCATCATGAACTGCGCGCCGCCCCATCGAGCCCAGAGCAAGGCGTCCTCTTCGGCCGGGTCGTGGAACGCCTTGACGTCGTCTGTGCCCCACTTCGACATCACCGCGTCGTCGGCAATCGCGGGCTTGAAGAGGCTCCCTGGCTCGAGGCGAAAGAAATCAATCCTCTTGGAGGTGACGACGCTCGGCTTCAGGTCAGAGCGGCCGTGCTTGTCGATCTGGTAAGCCGAGATGGCGAAGCAGGTCGTCTTAGAAGCGGACGACTTCCCGACGCGAGTCTTCCCGATCCACATGATCGAATGCACATCGTGAGTGCGCAGTGCGGGGGCAATGATGTTGTTCAGGATCTTCGGATGGAACTGCCTCAAAGCGTGGCACCACGACATCAACGTCCGCGCGCCCACGGTGCCGTTGGCGTAGTTCCGCAAGCTCTCCTGCGAGGCTGCCAAACGGACGCGCGCCCGAGCACCTCCCCTCAAGCTGGCGCGACGATCAGGTCTGCGCCCAGCGCGAAGGGGACGCGCTCTACGCCGCGCGTCCGTTTAGCCGCCTGGTCCTTGACATCCCCAGGCGTCCACCCGAAGATCGGACTGCTCTCGAGGTGGATCTGATCATCCGTCCACTCGACGAATTGGTTCTGGGCATTGCTCCGTGGTCCATGATCGCGAATGAAGGCGTAACCAGCCGTTCGAGCAATCCTGTCGTAAGTGCCCGCTTCAGCTGCCTTCTTCACGGACGGCTGCACGAAGTATCGGTACTGCACGCCCCCAAGGCGGCCCATCATGAAGTGGAACAACTTGCGAACCTTCTTCGTGTCAGAAGTGCGGCCCCAGTGGATCGTCAGCGGCGCGCCCACGATGAACACATCTTTCACCAAGTCCACGCGAATACTGTCGTCGAACTTGATATACTTCAGCACAGACTGCACCCCATCAGGGTCGGTGGGCAGAACGTAGATCTGCATTGTGAACGCCAGCTCTCCCGTGTCCTTCTTCGGCTTGAACGGAGACGGCAAGGACGCGTAGTCGCCGCGGCGCATGATGTCGACCATGTCCACAGCACTTGTGTCGGGAAGCTCCTGGCACTCCGTTCCAATCTTGATCCAATCCACGACGTGCTTCACTTTTACCACGTTGTCGATGTCTCTCAGTGCCATGTCTCGGAGACGATAGCAACCAGGCGGGTCTGATTCGAAGCGCGTGGGCTTCTCGAGCCGACTGTACGGGTTCAGAGTGTCCATGCAGCCCCAGGCCTGCGCGACCTGCTCGGTGGCGGACTCGTCCCCCGCGATCATCTCTCCCAGAGACTTGACGCCCCCCGCCACGAGGTTCGCCATGATCGCAACGAGACGCGATGCAACGTTGACTGCGAGGCGCACCTGTGGTCTTGAGCCAACGCAAAGCTGCGGGCTACAGCAATGGGAAAAGATAACGGACTGGGGCATCCAAAATCTGGATCCCCCCAATCAGCGGGCTCTCTCTCTCTCTCTCTCTCTCTCTCTCTGTCGCTGTCGCCGTCCCTGTCTCTTTCTCTGTCTCTGTCTGTGTCTCTGTGTCTGCCTCTCTCTCTCTCTCTCTCTCTCTCTCTCTCTCTCTCTCTCTCTCTCTCTCTCTCTCTCTCTCTCTCTCTCTCTCTCTCTCTCTCTCTCTCTCTCTCTCTCTCTCTCTCTCTCTCTCTCTCTCTCTCTCCTTCTGCGGGTGTGTGTTTTTTGGCTGTCGCTCCAAAGGCCAGGGCGGGGCTGCTAGTCGAGGCCGCGCGCGGCGCACGTCAGCCCAAGTCGTTGGCGTGGCCGCGGGGCGGGCCGTGGCGCGCCAAGCGCACCACTTTCTTGGCCGCCCAAGGAGGCAAGTGGTACTTCATGTGCACCTGGAGAGTCCGCCACCAGCTCTCCCAAGGAGCTGTGGCCTCCTCGAGCGCCTTCTCGGCCTTCTCGGTCGCCTTCTTGGCCTTCTGAAGCTTTCCCTCCGTCTTCTCCAAGGAAGCCTGCGTCTCGCGCAGCTCCGCCCGCGCGTCCTTGAGGGCGGTCGTCTTCTGCTTGAGCTGCTCCTTGCAGTGGTTGGCAACCGCCTCTGCCGCTGCGGCTTTGTGTTGGGCGGTGTACATATTCCTGTAGTGCTGGTTGGAGCGGCGTGACCGCGCGTCCAGGACGCTCTCAAGGTCGCGCAACTTGTCCACCAAGGGTTTGCGAGCTGCGGCGCGCGCCCCCCTCACCAGCTTGGCCACAGCTGGTTTGTTGCCGAGGTCGTGATCTCTCTTCGCGGCCCTGCGTACCTTGTTGCTGTGCAGCTTCTTCTCGTAAGCGGGTGTCCCCTTCTTTGGGTTCCCCATGGTGTCGCGAAGCACGGAGCGCGGAACCAATCAAACCTTGAGCCAAAGCGGTTACGGATGGTCGAAGCTTGCTCGTGCCGCATCCGCTGGGGGGCTCTGTCATTCTGTCGGAGGGTTAGCAAACACTGTAAAAAACAAGTGTTCCAGGTCGGAGGGTCAGCAAACACTATAAAACACAGGTTTCTCAGGTTTTTCAGGTTTTTGCGCATCCATCCACCTGGGAGCGCATAGATCCCCCAAAACCTGAAAAACCGGTGTTTTGCTGTGGTTTCTCGGCCTCTGACCTGACAAAACCTGTAAAAAACCAGGTTTTTCAGGCCGGAGGGTTGGCAAACACTGTAAAAAAACAAGTTTTTCATGTTTTTCAGGTTTTTGCGCATCTTTCCACCTGGGCGCGCATAGATCCCCCAAAACCTGAAAAACCTGAAAAACCTGTGTTTTGCAATGGTTTCTCAGCCTCTGACCTGAAAAACCTGTTTTTTACAAGAGATTCTCTACCTCTGGCTTGACAGGAGGCGCCACGAGCGCAATCGAAAGGACGAACTGAATTGATCAGGCACTCTCCTCCTCCTCCTCCCCCTCATCATTCTTCCTCCTCCTTCTCCCCCTCCCCCTCCCTCCTCCTCCTCCCTCGTGGTTGGGATGTTCGCCCCACGAGGGCTCTCGAGGGTTAAAACTGAGGGGCCCTCGTGTCGTCGTTTTCCCCCGCCGTCGCGGGGGTATTTTGCTGCCAGTCCTGGCTGGTAGAGGGCTGGGGGAGGTCCCCGCGAGTCCGCCTTTGTTTTGGAATGGTGGAGTCGCTCTATACTGTTCCTCTTCTTCAGGCAGGTCTCGTTCGAAGCCTGAGGTGGGGCCGCCCTGGCCCCCAGCTTAGCCGCCGCGTGTTCGGGCCTCGGACGCGCGCGCCACGCCTCGTACCCTCGTACCCTATCCTCCTCCTCTTCCTCCTCCTCTTCCTCCTCTTCTTTCTTCCTCGACGCCAAGTTGGAAAACGCTGAAACCGCCCAGGCGCCAAAAACAACCAAAAACGCCCAGGCCTACATCGGGTCTGGCGCCCCTCCTCCTCCTCCCCTCCTCCCTCCTCCTCCTCCCTCCTCCTCCTCCTCCTCCTCCTGCTTCTCCTCCTCATTCCGTCCTCCTCCTCTCCCTCCTCCTCCTCCTCCTCCTCCTCCTCCTCCTCCTCCTCCTCCTCCTCTCTCCTCCTCCTCCTCCTCCGCCTCCTCCTCCTCTCCTCCTCCGGTCCTCCTCCTCCTCCTCCTCTCCTCCTCCTCCTCCTCCTCCTCCTCCTCCTCCTCCTGCTTCTCCTCCTCCTCCGTCCTCCTCCTCCCTCCTCCTCTCCTCCTCCTCCTCCTCCTCCTCCTCCTCCTCCTCCTCCTCCTCCTCCTCCTCCTCCTCCTCCTCCTCCTCCCCCTCCCCCTCCTATTTGTGCTCGGCCAGATGTTTCTGGTACTGCCCCAGCCCCTCCACGGCCGCCCAAAGAGGCAAGGCCGAGGCTGGTAGTTGTCGCTCACGATACCGTGCCCCTTGCTCCGGGATCCTCGGCGTTGCAGTGCAGGCAATGGTTGGCGGTTGCTCGGACTCCAGCCAGTGCAATGTCGTTGCACAAACCAGGGGCTAAGTGTGAGCCTGGGCCGATGCTGCGCCAGCTTGCTGCTCTTGCCGAGCGGCTCGGTTGGCGCCAGCATGCCGAGGGGGAGGGTGAGGCTGCCTATGCCGCTGCTGCTGCCAGTTCGGGTGCAGAGGCAGGTGGGAGACTTCTCGTGTGCGACGGGCACCATATTCACAGGGCAGGGTCCTTCCTGTTCTGTTGGCTTTGCGGGGCCCGAATTGCCCTGGGCTCGGCCAAGATCGAGGCCCTCGGTGAGCCCTGCCCCACGAAGCCCCCTAACCCTGCCCGCCGGCGAGCCAGGGACTGGCTCTCGGAAGGCAGGCACCCAGCAACTGGAATCAGGCTCGTCCAGTCTACTCCGTAATTTGCTTGGTTTTCCTTGAGGGCTGGTGTTTGATCACCCTCGCCCAGTATTATATAGTCGTCGTTGCGTTCTCGGATGCTTCGCCGTTCTATGCTGCGTCCTGCGCCCTCCTCCTCCTCCCTCCTCCTCCTCCTCCTTCCTCCTCCTCCTCCTCGTCCTCCTCCTCCTCCTCCACCTCCTCCTCCTCCACCTCCTCCTCCTTCTCCTCCTCCTCCTCGTCCTCCTCCTCCTCCTCGTCCTCCTCCTCCTCCTCCTCATCCTCCCTCCTCATCTTTTTGTGTTCCATATCCAAGGCTCCTCGGCCTTGCTCCGCCCCTGCCGAGAAGGTCCAGCAACAACTAATTGTCCAAAACAAGCAGAGGCCGCTGTAAAGAACAACATGTTGAACAAGAACGACGCGGATCTGTCAAACAGAATTGTCTAACAGACTGTCGGCTCGCCTCGTGTACGTTCACACGAAGCGGAACTGTCAAACAAACTTGTCTAACAGACTGTCGGCTCGCCAAGGAGGAGGAGGAGGAGGAGGAGGAGGAGGAAGGGGGAGCGGAAGCCTCCTCCTTCCTCCGCCTCCTCCTGCTCCTCCTCCTCCGCCTCCTCCTTTACAGCGGAAGCGCGCTCCCGAGACCACCATCCCTCATTACCCGTCGGTCGGAGGAAGTCGGCAGAAACACGAGGCAGGAAGGCGTTGAGAGTAGAGTGGGCTTCCGCCCCCTGAGGACGAGGGCAAAGGGGATGCCACTGGACTCTTGAAGTCGGAAGGCGCCCAAAGTAGATTGGGGCGTGGGCGTCCAAAAGCACCTACTTTCAAGGACCGACGGGCGATTACTGAAGACCCGCGCAACCAGCCACCCTGCAGGCAGCCCGAACCACTTGCCGATTATCAGTGTATAAAACAAGCCAATCAACCGAACTGCCAGCCCGCCAACCGACAAGAAAACCAACGCACCTACCAACCAAGCAGGGCCATGCAAGCAATCTGGGGAGGGGGCGGTGGCAGAGGGCGAAGCCCTTCAGATAAAGTTTGTTGGTCGATGCTGCGTAGTGCTGTGTCGCGCGGTAGGTGCGAATCAGTAAGAACAAGAGTATGTGAAAAAGCTGGCGACCGAATTGCCACACGGGGCTGGCAGCATGATACGCATGTACAAATGCAATATGTGTCGACAAAATTGACCACGACCTGTCTCAACCTGACCCGTCTCAAACGACCGGCTCCAAGAACATATTGAGGTACATCGCGCCCGAGATCAACGACCAGATCGTACTGCGCGCGAAGGTCGCCAGCGACTGGGCTGAAGATAAGGTGGCAAGGAAGAGCACCTCATCGGGCCACATTTACATGAAAGAGACGGCGATGGTGGGCTACAGCAGAACGCAGGCCAGTCCTGCAACGTCATCGGCAGAGGCCAAGATCTACAGCATGGCCTCAGGAGCTTGCGAGGCGTGACTCGTCAAGTCACTCCTGGAGAACATGTTTCCCCCGACTACGGACAGCCTGATCTTGGAGTGGAACACCTCCGCGTGACAGAGCAGGCAGGGCCCAGGAAAGCTGAAGAGCATCCACATGCGTCACATGTTCGTGCAAGGCTTGCTGCGAGCATGTCGGCTGGTGGTCAAGAAGATCGCGACGGCAGTCAACAGCAGCGACCTCGGGGCCAAGTACCTTGACAGGACAAAGCTCAAGCGCCAGCGCGGATCAATACCCATCGGTCGGAAAAAGTAGGTAGAAACATGTAGTAGGAAGGCGTTGGAAATAGATTGGGTTTCCGCCCGCCTCCCGAAGAGGAGGGAAGAGGGAAAACCACTCGACTCTTGAAGTAGGAAGGCGCTCAAAGTGGATTGGAACCTGGGAATCCAAAAATACATCCTTTCAACGACCGATGGGTAACCCCGAGAGCAGCAACGGCAAGATCGGAGTACCTCAGGAAGAGCCGACACCGACATCAAAGCGGGTCTCATGATGTGTCTGGAAGGCTTGCCAGCCGCGAAGTTGCGACAGTGGAGGCAGGCAGCGACGCGGACGCCAAACCAGCGGGCGGTTTCTGCGCGCGAGCGTGCGAGCTCTGTGACAGCCGTTGTTTTCGGTATGGCGTTGGCCGTGCTGATTTTCGCCATGGACATTCGAGTCGGAGGTGATGCCAGCCGCTCCAGGTTTGTGGCGATCGAGGTCAAGCCGACCAGAGTTGAGACAGGCAAAGGCAGCAGGCCCAAGCGCATGACAATGCCCTGTTCTGAGTGCAAGCAAATTCGAGCTGATGATTTCAACACCCAGGCCGTCAGGATGCGGCTGCATCGAATCAGCCATGATGTGTCAGGGGCCAAAGATGGGTTGGTCTCGCGCATCCAAGTGCCAAGTGTCCGAACCCTCGCACGCAGCGATTTTGTTCTGAGAACAGCAGGGCCCCTTAGATTTTGATTCGGGCTGAAGGACTCAGCGCTCGCGGAGGGGTGTGCACATGTAGAAACGGTATATGTATGTGCTGTGTGGTGCTGTGCCGTACAACGTGTATGAGACAATCCAAAGAATCGTCGGTGAAATGACTTACGACCGAATTGCCACCCGGGGATGGCGGTGTAGCATGCGTCCACATATGCAGTGGTTGTTCTTCGTGTTAACAAAAGCAAGAAGCTTGGCATGCCGGGCGACCGCTGACCATTTTGGCTGAAGCCGCAGTTGAGAGAAATAGCATCCATCCTTACATCTCTTCTCCAAGACAATAGAACGTTATTATGTTTCGATGAGTTTCGCTTCTCGGCCTAGTTTGAGCGTCAGATCGCCCACGCTGGCTCCCGAGAGCCGCGACATCGCCTCAAGAATGGCCAAACAAGCCCTGAGAGAACCCCGATACGACCCAAGACCGGCCCAAGATGGGGCCAAACCGCCCCATGGTCCAAGAGGGCCCCACGGTGGCCCCAAGACAGCTCCAAGAGATTCCCCTGATGGCCTCATCCTCCTCCTCCTTCTCCTCCTCCTCCTCCCAGTCCTCCTCCCCGTCCTCCCCCTCCTCCCCCTCCTCCTCCTCCTCCTCCTCCCCCTCCTCCTCCTCCTCCTCCTCCTCCTCCTCCTCCTCTTCCTCCTCCTCCTCCTCCGCCCCAAGACGGCCCAAAGGGCCTCCAGGCGGCAAAAGGGGGCAAGTGGAGGCCCCCAGGGAAGCCCCAAGAAGATCGCCCGAAAGGAGAAATAAAAAAACTGCTCAACCATGGCTGATTCGAAAACACCTGATCTCGGCGCAACCTTCATAGGGTGATCCTGTGCAACATACAACCAACCCATGTAATAAGGATGCGCGATAAGGATGCAAGGGCCTTGGACGCCCACTTCGAAGCTTTCCGACCGGGGCGCGGTCAACGAAAGCGGCCAAGGATGGGCCGAGGAGGCAAGGCTGCAAGGGTACTCTTGGGAAGGTTGCCCATCCTTACTATGCGGGTTGACTGTAACCTTCATAGGGTGAGCCTGTGCAACATATGGGATACCATCTATACAATGCACACCTGGGGGGGGTGGGGGGGCCATGTATCCGTGCGCATTCCAGGTGATAGGGAGAAGATGAAAACGGACAGCATGGTGGATGCTCCAGCTGAGCGGCCGAGCAGCAGGTGCATCCTGCGAACTTGACTAAGCCTTGGGCCCAAAATTCGGATAAAGAAAGAGAGAGGAAAAAGAGAGGGGTAAGAGGAGGAGGAAGAGGAGGCAGGGGGAGAAAAAGAAACACATCAAAAGAAACTCGAGCCCGCGTAAACTGGCCTACGTAGACGCAACCCGCAAAAAAGGCAAAGATTGTCGAGAGAGAAAAATCTGGAAAGGGCAGAGGAATGGGCAACTTGTGTGCATACGAATTCCGAAGAGGACCGCAGAAGAACCCAACCGGCCTCGATTTCGCACAAAAGGTATAGCAATTATCATTCAACAACCCAAGAAAGCCTCAAACGGATTTCACACCGCCCCACAAACACTGCAACACATCGTACTCCGCATGTTCATATTAGTCGCACTCTTTCTCCCTCTCCTCGAGTTCCCTGGTGTTGTGCTAGACCTCCCCAATACAGGCTAGCACCAGCGCCACATCGACTCACCCAGACTATAGAACGCCCTCGTCATCGCCATCATTTTCGTGATCTTCATGATCATCACCATTACCGTCGTCACCATCTTCACGGCAATATTCAATAACAGCAACCACCAGTACCTCCACCATCATCGTGGTCATCATCGTCATTATCGTCAGCATCAACATCATCATCGCCGTCAGAATTACGTCAACGTTGCCTTACTCGTAACATCGACTGCGACTGCGGGTGCCTCCAAAACGGCCCAAGATCGCTCCGAAACGGGCAATGTTTGGCATCAAGACGGCCCAAGATGGCCTCTAGACGGCACACGAGGCCTTCGAGGCGTCCCACAAGAGCCCCAAGAGTCTTCTCACAAGGGCGTCGAACAAAAACCAATGATGTTCCGTATGTTGTTCAATGTTTTTTGAATTCTCGCCTTGTCGAGCTTCCGACGTCCCAAGAAGGCCCAAGAGGTCACCAGGACTGCCCCAAGACGGCCGAAGAGGCCCCCAAGAGGGCCCCAACAGGACCCAAGAGGCGCCTAAGAATGCCCAAGAGGGTCCCAAGGAGGGCCCACGAGGGTGAACGCGAAGCAACAAGTCGAGCCTTCCGCCCCAAGAGGGCTCAGGAGGCCCCAAGAAAGTCAAAATAGGCCCCCGAAGCCGCCAGGAGGTCCCCAAGAGGACCCCGATAGGCAAAAAACTATGATTCGCCACAGCTTGTCCAAAATGTTATGCTTCTCGCCTTTTCGAGCGTCCAACGCTCCACGACGGCCCATGAGGCACCAAAGACTCCCCCGAGACGGCTCAAGAGGACCTCAAGAGAGCTCCAAGACGGCCCAAGAGGGCTCCAAGACTGCGCAAGCGAAGACTGCCCAAGAGGGACCCAAGACGGCCCCAAGAAGGGCCCAAGAGTGGGAATACGATACCAAGAATTCGAGCCTTCTGCCCCAAGAGGCCCCCAATAGGCCCCCTTGCCTTCTCGAACAGTTGCAACCCAGCGCTGACACGGTGGCGGAATTGCTAGAGGCATCTGGATATCATCAGAGGATCCAATAGCAAAGTCATAAGCTTCAGCTGTACCCGCTGAGAGCAGACGTCACCTGCTGGCAAGACTGCTGACTAACGATGGCACGCTTCGCGCTGGCATGGTATGCTGCGCTGTGGCACGCCAACGCTATGGCATACCAACGCTGTGCTATAGTTTAGGCATAGTGATAGCTATGGCCTGAATCTAATTTGCCACCGTGCTTGCCATGTTGGGGCGTACTGGGATGCTCCTCTGCTATCTCATAAAGCTTCTTTGGTAGGTTCTAGGGCCGGCCCCAGCCCCCCTCCCACGCGTCAGAAAATCGTCCCACTATCTGGAGCCGAAATTGGTACAGTGTCCGAAAGAATGTGCTGTTGTGAGAGGCTCTGGTCGAAGAGAGGCCTCTCCGAGAGGGGTACAAACAACCAAAAGCATCAAAACTTAGACTACCCAAATCGCAAAAAAAACAACAACAACAACAACAACAACAACAACAACAACAACAACAACAACAACAACAACAACAACAACAAAACAAGACGGCCAAAAACAGCCAAAAACAGCCAACAACAGCCCGAAGCCAACCTAGCCAGCCAAACACAGCCCGAAGACAACCCAGCTTGCCCCAAGACGGCAAGAAATGCCAAGATTGCTCCGAGAGGACGTCCAAGAGGCCCTCAAGAAGCAACAATCGCGAATCCCCACGTGGTTGCTCAAGGATTTACACATGCTCACCTCTTCGGGTTTGCTAAAGTCCAGGACGGCCCAGAGTGTCCCCAAGAGGGCTCCAGGACGGCGCAAGAGGGCCCCGAGAGGACTCGAAGTCTGCCCAGGAGGACCCCAAGACAGCCCACCCCCAAGACGATCCTCCCAGAAAGCCTCAAGAGGGGTCCAAAACTCGAGCTGGCCGCCTCGGGAGCCTTTCCTTCCAAGATTGCCTCTAATACCCCGAAGAGGCCACCAGAAGGACGCAAGAGGCCCGCAAGGCCCAAGACGCTTCCGAGAGGCCCTAAGAGGCCCCGAAGATACCTGCTTCAGTGGCTTCAATAAGCCCCTGGAGCCCACAACAGACCCCCCAAGGACCTCAAGATGGCCCGCATAAACCCCCCAGAGACTCTCAACAGGCCCTCAAGAGGCTCTGGAGAAGCCTCCAAAATGGTGTTCAGCAGGGAGTCGGGAAAAGAGAGAAGAGGAGGATGAGAAGCAGGAAGAGTAGGAGGAGCGAGGAGGAGAAGGAGCGAAGAGGAAGGAAAAGGAGAACGAGGCTGCGAACAAGGGAGGTGGGGTTCAAAAACCACTCTAGCTCCGTGCCGTGGTTGAACTTCAGCGGGTTTGAAATAAAGCCTCGCTTGTGCTGCGCTGCTGCGGTGCTGCACTAGCACGGTGGCGAAGATTGCCGCAGGCAGCGGGTCACGTAGTCTTTCTGTTCTGCCGGTCAAAATCGAATATTTATAAGACATGTCTCTTGCTTCGAGAGTGAGGCTACGGATCAGCATCACTTCGAATCAACGCACTCTTCCTCCTCGATCTTGATCCCGATCTGACCGGCGCCGCCAGATCCCAGCGCTGCATTCACTTCTGCCTTCTCTTCCGCTGTTGCATCCTTCATGTCCTGCTTGAGCGATGTCCGGACCTGCTGCAGAATGCTGTCCCTCAGTTCATCAGCATCCACCACCTGCGGCTTAGGGCTCTCGCACGGGTACACAGCATCAAGATGTGACGAGTACTCCTGCATCGCCTTGTAGAGTATGGAGCCGGCGCCAACGCCTGCAGCCCCGGCCCAATACGACTCGGTGACGGAGCTCACCCCGACTGTCGTGACGGCGGTGGTGACTAAGCAAGCGGTGTGCCCCGCCCACAGCCTTCTGGAGGGGCAGAAGCCGCAGAAACCTCGTTCCTGGTAAGGGTGGCCACCTACCGGGTTCTCCCAGAAAAGTCTCTCAGGAGGTATCCGCCCAGGGAGAGGAGGCCTCCTGGAGGCCTCCCCTGGTCCTGCAGGAGGCCTCCCGCGGAGGACCTCCGCCCAGGGAGAGGAGGCCTCCCAGACCTCCCCTGGGCTTCCCGAAGGTCTGGGAGATCTCGACGAGGAGGAGAGCGGAAACGAGGAGGGCAGGGAAGAACAGCCGCGCCGAGGCGTGAAGGGCAGCCCTCGCACCAGCCCCGTCGCGGCAGGAAATAAGCGAATACCCTGAGAATGCCGAGGCTCTCCCGAAGCGCCGCGCACATTCTTTGTAAACGTCTACAAAAGTTTCACGGATTGAGGGCGGGTCGTTTTCAAAGTGTGGCTCTCGCATTAGCGCCGCGCACAGCCGCCCTACAAAGTGTCAAACTGTGGCTCTCGCCTTAGCGCCACGCAAAGACGTGTTAAAACAATGTATGAGTTCCACGGATGCCCATGGTTAACGCATTTTGGAGCGATTCACAACTGTCAGGGCGCAAAAGTCGCAAAAGTTACGTTGATTCGCGGCGTTGAAGTCCCAGGAATGGTGTTCTGGCGTCTTGGTACGATTCAGGATCGTCAAGACGCAACGGACAGGTTGATCAGCGTTTCCGAGAACGATGTTTTGGTACGCTTCAGCATCTTCAAACGGTTGTCTACCAACAGGGTACTTCCCCCAGTGGAAATGGTACCTTGCAGGGGCCTGTGAAAAGGGAGCTTGGGGGGATGGTCTATTCCAACATCGTCGCTGAACCTTGGGTTTACACTGGTCCTCCTCCTCCTCCCCCTCCTCCTCCTCCTCCTCCTCCTCCTCCTCCTCTTCGTCCTTCTCTGCCTGCTCATCCCTCTGGCCTCCTCCTCCTCTCCTCCTCCTCCTCCTCCTCCTCCTCCTCCTCCTCCTCCCCCTCCTCCTCCTCCTCCTCCTCCTCCTCCTCCTCTCCTCCTCCTCCTCCTCCTCCTCCCAGAGAACCAGGAGAGGTCTCCCAGAGGCCTCCCCTGGTCCCTGCAGAGGTCTCAGGCGCTGGCCCGCAGGTCTCCAGGAGAGGAGACATCTGTGCTTAGCTGCCCCGATACGCAACACGCAACACGTACCGTATCGATACGGAGCTCAACACGTAGGCTGAAAACGTAGGGCCGACACGATACATTCGCCAAAACGTGGTCCAATACGTGGAGCCAACACGCAACGTATTCACACGGACGTCTTGAACACGGGACGTGTTGCGTTTCAAAACGTGCGCATCGAGGCAACTACGCATCTGTGTTGGCCACCCTTACGTAACTTCTCGGAGGGAATACAAGGGGGTCACATGCGAACCCTGCCCTCCTACCCCCCACGATTTCTGAGGGGGAGGGTGGGGTTCACTTCGCTCCCTCCCTCCCCCGCAGAACTCGTGGGGGTTAGGGGCAGGGTTCGCATGTGGCCCCCCGAATACGTCTATCCCGTGTTCCGTTGTTCGAGGCCTACGCTTCTTCGCCAGGCACTTCTGGCACACAGCCGATCGCTGGCGTGTGCGGGCCGTCGTGTTCGCGCCGTGGCCCTCGACCAGCGTGCCCTGAAGCGTGGCCGCACCCGCGCCCACATGCGCGGCCTCCAGCCGGTCCACCCGCTCCTGCAGCTCCCAGAGCTGGCCCTTGAGCTCTGACAGCTCCTGGCCCTGGTGGGCACCCCCTGCCTTCATGTGCGCACCGCCACCGAGCTCCAGGGCAACATTCCCGCGGTTTGCTATGGCCGTGCGCCCGAGAAGCGCGAGAGCCGCGAGGACGGCGGGAGTCATGGCGCCGACTGAAGCTCAGATGGCAGAGCGTGAACTTCTTGGCGAAAGCCTGAGGTTTCTTGTGGCTGGAGCTTGGGCCACGGTGGATACAGAAGCGTGGCCTCGAATAACGCACTAGGCTTGTCCAGTGGGCTCTGCGCCTGAAAAGCGGATGCTGCAAGGATACTTACTGCATCTGCACGCAATTGGGTACGAGGAGCCGTATCACCTTCTGGACGCCATAGATTGCACACCATGGGTCGGGGTGAGTTATCGCATACTTACTGAATGCCCAGGTTGCGCCAATGAGCTGCGCAATGGGTTGCGGGTGTAGGTTACGCTGCGCCTGTGGATGGCTCAATACTGTCTTGCATTGGTTCACATTGCTTTGGATCGGTTTGCAGTAAGCTGCATTTACCTTCATTGCCTTACACTGTGTTGTATCGTGCTGCGTTGCACTTGCCTGCGCTGCTTTGCACTGCGCTGCTTTAGGTTGCATTGATGTATGTTACATTGCTTTTCAGTTTGGGGTCCACGCCGGAATCGATCAGAAGGTAACGGCACCAGGGAGACCGCGATGTGGTCGTGTGGTGGGGGTGTCTGGAGCAACCTGTCTTTGTGGAAGCGCACAGCATGACACCACAGTGCCTCAACTTGTGCAACAGGCTTGTCCTGCGAGTGGCCAAGATACTGGCGCCGGATTCCAGATTTCGGGCCCAGATTCGGTGTCTATGGGGGGCAACGATAGGGGGGGACTGGCACAGGGGGGATGCATCGACCTGGAATCGGCGATACATCGCCGATAGATCGGCGATAGGCCTCTGGTGAGTCCGCACCTTCCTGGGCAGGTTGGGGCTATCGGGCCCCTGTCGGCGATCCATGGGCGATTGGGGGTCGATGCATCCCCCCTTGCCTATCCCCCCTATCGTTGCCTCTGAGTCTAGCGCAACCTACTGTGCAACATGTAGGCCGTACATCTCGTGAGGCCCGGCAAGCACCTGGACACTCCCTGGAACTCCGGAGGCCTCCTGGCAGCCGCCTGGACAGCCACTGCAGCCTCGAGGCCCCGTGGAAGCGTTCGGAGAGCCTCCTGGAAGCTCCCTGGGGGAGGCTCGACCTCCAGGAGGCTCGACCTCAGGGATTTTGACGTCTTTCGCCCTTCCGATGCCTCCCAAAAGATCCCCGTAGCCAAGCAAGGCGGGACGCACCACGGAAAACTGGCCACGGTGGACCCTGGGAGGGCTCCAGCGATCGATTTTCATCAGAGGTCGCTCCCTAGCAGGCTCCTGGAGACCCCTGGAACCCCCTGAGGCCCCCCAGCCACTGCGGCGTCCTCGGCGGCCTCCAGAAGCCTTGAAGGCCATTGGAGGCCACGGACGACTCCTAGGGGGACTCTTGCGGATGCGCGCTCGTGCGGCTCCCGCAGATAGCTTCACTCATGAAACTCGGGCCCGTGGATGCACTCTGGAGGCCCCTGGACTGAGCACCGTTTAACCGAACCCGATCCCCATGGGCGTGGCCTGGGCCGCACTGGCCGGTTGTACCCCTCTGGATGGGGATATAGGAGGCTGTTCCCTTCGCATTTCGAGGGGCATATCCCCAACTGGGGCGTGAGATGGTGGGGGTCTGGATGGGGACGGGGATGGGGATAGGCGTCGGTTAAACGACACTGACTGGAGGCTCCTGGAGGCTGCTTGGGAGTGCCTCGAAGCCCTTGCACTGCACCCGCACACAGAGGCGGCCGCAAAGCCTCGCCGCGCCCGAGATAAAGGACAACTTTCACCAACGCCCAGCAGGCAAAACTCTTGACCGGGAGGCCGTCTGGGACGGCACGCTGGACGACCAGACGACGCCAACCGCGTACCCGCTGAGTGGCGCCATCCGAACCCTACCCCCACGAGCCATCGATTCTCCTGAACCGACGGGAGGCGAGGACAGGGCTCGGACTTCGCCACGTGCTCGACGAACTCGAAGCCCCCGACCCCCGCCGCCCCTCCAGCTGCCCGAATCGCCGATCGGCGAGGGCAGGGCTCGGACTCCGCCGCCGAGGCCGTGCGCCAGGCCAGCTCGAGCGCCCCATCCCGCTGCTCGGCCGACGCCTGCGCGCTTGCGCCCGCGGACAGTAAACCTCCCCTTAGTGAAGACGGCCTGGGACCGAAACCGACGGACCTGGACCAGCAAAAATGACGGCCGCGGCGCCCTCTCGCGAACCGAAAACGGCCAATTCCTGAATCGACGTGTCAGGGTAGGAGGTCTGTCCACCCCCGATCGATACGGGCTGCTGCGCGCGCCAGCGCGCGCAGGACCGTGCACCGAAATGGTCTGGTACACACGACTGGTCTCGTCCAGGCACGGGCCGCCCCGCGGAGGGCCATCGTGACACGGAGATCTGGCGATCCTGGAGGCTGCATCGGACGCCGCGGCCTCCTCGGGGCGTTCTGGAACGCTCCGAGGGCGGTCGGGACCACTCTGGCACGACCTCTCCCCGTCCGAGCCACGCCTCATCTCGGCGAGGCGCGGCTGGCGAGACTGGGCCCCCCCCTGGCCCAGGCCCCGTGGGCGGTCGAGCGCCCCCCTAGGGCGACCCGCGAACCTGCGCGGGCGCCCGCGCGCACGAGGCTGGGATCTCGAGGCGGCTCCAACCGTGGGGACGAGGAGGCCCAGAACAGGCCAAGAACCTTGC